TCTTGCCTACAATAGTCTATTAAGGTGTTACATTAAAAGGCAATTTGAATGCTCTATTTGCAAAGAAGGTGCAAATTTCATGAGGTTATAATATGGCATGAAGAATATTTACATCAGGTATAATAGATTTTTACATTAGGATCATCATTATTGGCAGTTAAGAAAAGCCTTTAATTGAAATTCATAAGAAGGTAAGCCACCTTTGTCATTAACAAGTGATAAGTGTTTGAGAAGATAAAGGATTTAGATATTAATTTTTGATAAGCCTTGTGTGAGGCACCTTGGGATAAGTGGGTGGAAGAAGAGGTTTATTTTTTTTGAACTCTCTTATTGGACAACTTTAGATGCTAGGCATTTTTTTAATGTTATACATATTGCGAAAAATATCTGTGAGAGTTTTATTGGAAATTTATTCCAAGTTTCAGGAGAAACCACTATGAGCTGCCACCATTTTCAATTCTATAAAAGCAACAAATTGTAAAACCATGATTTGTGAAGATGAGAAGAAGAAATTAAGGGAGCAAAAACTAGATCATAAATTGATATGTAAAGATGCTAAGGATAGAGTAGGTAGAAGAAATTATAATTCAACCACCATAAATAAAGGAATCATAGAGAAGCACAAAAGAGTAGAGGATGAGAGATCGTCGAGTTGAACACCGATAACCCTTACATATGAGATACTAATGAATCGAACTTGTTGGCCTTGGATGAGCTAACTCCGCATGTGGACTCAACAGTGGTACAATAAAGAGTCAACCATGATTTCAAAGCATCTAGTGTCAATGCCTCAAACTGTAAGAAACAAATATCATACCATACTTGAGCTGATATTAAGGCTTTAAGGTTAATGTGTACTCAATATCTTGGAGACATTATTTTTTTAGGATGGGCTATACGACATATCAAGATCATTTGATTCCATTCAAGATGAACTTTTAAATGAATTCCTCAAGCATGATATGACAAACACTAGTTTGATGAGCTTCTATATGAGGTATTTCCTTAACCATGCTCATTTACTTGAATTATATTATATTATTTACATACACACACACACACACACACACACATATTAACCCTTTTATTTTGACATCTAAGGTAACTTTACAACTCATTCCTTGTCCCTAAGGGCTTATAATCGAGGTTTATGTTTATTAGTTTACATGACATCTCTCCCTATAATTACATTACTCGAGAAGTTCTTAAAGATCATGTAATAAGGCATTCAAATTAATTCAAGGAAAGGGCAACAAGCAATGATAATTTTTTCTTAGCTCATTACTACTAGAGGTAAGCCACTATCTAGCTATTTCATATAACTAAATGTTTTTTTATATCTAGATATTTGCTAACCCTTGTTATTTCTTGTAAGAGGGCACTAGATGCTTATTGTAGTTAATGATATAGCTAAGAAAAATATGGTATTTGGATTCTCTTAATGGAGAACCAAGCAATAGGAAAGGTTTGTTAATTAGAGTTCTTTAATAAGTAAGTTGAATAAGAGTTGCACTTACATTTTAATTTTCATATAATTTCTCACATCAAATTATTACTCCCTTGTTAGAACTATGGCAACGTATCGCATTATGTGCAATTTTTTCTTGCCCCCACTTGAAGTCATACCATGCCATATACATATGGAACTAAGTAAAGGTATTTGTTTGGCTAAATTTTAAATCAAGAAATTATCAATTATTATTCTATTTCATTGATCTTTAATTATTATTTCATTGACCTTATTAATTGTAAACTGAGCATCCAACATGGATGCCATATGGAGTACCACATATGCATTTTTGTTAAAAAAATTGGTTAATGGGTGCATTAACAACAAGGCAAAAATGGATGGGTTTTCAAACATTTCAAGGGAGAATTAACTCAATCAAATCCATGACACTCACAGATCCGATGTGAATAATTTGAAAGAAAAAATGACTCTTAACTCATGGACTTTTTTGGTCATTCTCCATAAAAAAAAAATAAAGAGTCATTGCCAACATGTCTTACCAAATCCAAAGAAGCTAGTTAATTCTCTCTAAAAATTTAATACATTTTTTTTTATTTTACCTGTATCAAATATGCATATTTTAATGACATACTTCCTCCCAACAATATTTAATAGGGCTAGAAGGGGAAATTTTAAACAAAAATTAATGGCATCTTTTATAATTAGAATTAAACATAGGATATAAGACATTGAATTTTAATTTTGACACTGCAAAATAAAAAGAGCAAATTGATTCTTAAATTATAAATCAAGAAGTGTTGGGGACCATAAATTTATTTTTGGTCAATGCTCCTCTTCAACTTTCAAAAATGGCATGATCTAATCCTTATTATTAACAAAAATTAACTCTGAGTGTTAGTTGACTAGAAAATGATAAAAAATAATGTTAAATTTTTTTAAAAAAAGACCAAAAAATTACTTACAATGACCCCCAAAATTAATTTTTGTTCTTTTCTATAATTTTTTATGTTCTTTTTTGTTATTTTTTTATCAACTAACTATCAAAGTTATTTTTAATGGTAAGGGTTATATTGTATTATTTTTAAAAATTGAAAGAAAGCATTTTATCAAAAATAAGTTTAGGATTTTAGATAATCTTGAAATTATAGTTTAAGAGACTAATTTGCTCTTTCGCCTATAATGTTTTTTAAAATTTTGACTGGCAGGATAAAATTGATTGTTATTGTATAGTTTTGATTAACACATTTTGCTATGACATGTTATAATAGGTATAAGCAAGGGCAATTGGGAGACTTTGTATTATTCACCTACAAATACTATAAGACAAGTGCTTTTTTTTTTTTTAATTATTGTATACAAGTGTCTTATTATAAAAAAACAATGAGATATGATCAAGTATTAAAATATGGGCACTTTTTCATATTAGAATTGGAGTCCTAGTTCACTGTAATAAAGGGACTAATGCCTTTTATTAACTCAATTACACCGGTATTGTTTGTTTGTTGTTGTGTTGTTGTTTTTTTTTTTTTTTGGGGGTAACAATGAGGCTCGAATAAAGCCTCCAACAAGGCAAGTGTTAATAATTAATATTGTAAGCTTGATTTTCAACAAACGGTGTGAAATACTGACAGAAAAATATTTAATTATTTGTAGTGCATGGTTTAATTATTATACTTAAAATTATTATTTATTAATTAAATCCGGCCAAAAAATTATTAATGTCCTATTATTATTATATCTCCTTTTGACCAATAACAATAGTATCATAATTAAAGTTGGTAGCACGATCATGTGATAGATAAAATATTTTAATGGACGTTGTTTAAGATATATACTCCCCCTATTAAAAAAAGACATATTTTTAGAGGTAGGACATTAAAAAATATAAAATATTTTTAGTCTTTTAAAATATAATTATTTTTTATTTAAAGTACTCATATTGAATAAATCATTTTATACTTATTTTAGGGTTAAACACTATTAAATAGGGGTAAATATAAAAAGATAGGGTTAATTTAAAAATAAATAATTACTTTATTAGGTGGTAAGATTTGGTTAAAAATATTTTAAATTTTTTAACGGAAAGTATTTGTTTATGCATGTGAGTTTTTTTTTTTTGAAATTCTAGCAATTAAGATATATATTTGTTTGTGCATGAGAGTTGTGATGGCTAATGAAATGAAAGGCCTAGAATGATTTTTGCTCTCAAACTTTTTGTATAAGCTCTGTTGATGTCGTGAATTCAATTTTAGGTCATTTGTATTTTTAAACTATTAAAATTTGATGTTTCATTGTTTGTTGATGTACATGCCATTTGTTGACTGTTATCTACATAAGCAGAGACATTTTGTTGAATTTTTTATAGCCACGTGACATCTAAGTAAATACATTTCAAGACATTTTTTGTTAGATTTTTTAACATTTAAAGGAGAAAATAATTTAAATAATTACTTTATTAGGCGGTAAGATTTGGTTAAAAATATTTTAAATTTTTTAACGGAAAGTATTTGTTTATGCATGTGAGTTTTTTTTTTTGAAATTCTAGCAATTAAGATACATATTTGTTTGTGCATGAGAGTTGTGATGGCTAATGAAATGAAACGCCTAGAATGATTTTTGCTCTCAAACTTTTTGTATAAGCTCTGTTGATGTCGTGAATTCAATTTTAGGTCATTTATATTTTTAAACTATTAAAATTTGATGTTTCGTTGTTTGTTGATGTACATGCCATTTGTTGACTGTTATCTACATAAGTAGAGGCATTTTGTTGACTTTTTTATAGCCACGTGACATCTAAGTAAATACATTTCAAGACATTTTTTGTTAGATTTTTTAACATTTAAAGGAGAAAATAATTCAAAAAATCAAGTTCAAGATAATAGGTGTCTCTAAGCAAATGCTTTAAAGGCATGCCATGTGGCTCAAAAAAAGTCAACAAAATGCTTTTTTCTTTTAAATAGGAGTAAAATTATGTTTATTCAATATTACTCCTATAATTATGAGAGAAAATGTGATGCAAATTTAAAAAAAATTTCATTTAAATAGGAATAAAATTTAAAATTTATTATATTTTTAAATAAGGTTAATAATTTAATAATTTCTTCTTAATTTCATTAAAATAATTAGAGGTGCCTTATAACCTGAATGCAGTAGATGGATGCCAGTGTCACTGAGCAACATCCATTCATTCAGGTAATACAAATGGGCCTTGTTTTGGGCTATTGGGAAGCAGGCCCTTAAAATTATTGAGCTCATGGGTCTTATACCCAATAAAATATTATTTTGATGAGTGCATGCTAATCACAAAGGTGGGCTGGAGGCTGAGGATGTGTTCTCTTCGGCTGAGGATGTGTTCTCTTCTCGGAATCATCGTTCATCTTTCATCAGATCAAAATTGGGGGGAAAATAATTACCAAAAAAATATTATGGGAAAAAATATCTAAAAACAGATTCGGAAATATCTAGCATAATATCTTGCTCACTTTGCTTGCCTCGCTTTCTCGCTGATCCATCATTTGTTCTGGTAAACGTTTATATCTCCGATACCGTCAAACTATTTCCTTTTGTTATCTGTTATTTTCCTGTATAGCATTCGTGAATTTGCCTTCATGTCTCTGTGGTTTTGATCATCTTCTGAATGATGGGAAACTTATGAATTGCTCCGCGAATGCTTCCGCATGACAATCTATTTGTAATTCGTTGATTATTGCTTCGTAAAACTGCATAACTCCACTCCATTTCAAGTTCCAGGCTTCGGTATGATTGAATTGCGGCCTTTCAATTTTCACTCCAGAATCCGGATATTACCGATCTCTTGTCGATGACGGAAAATTTTCGTATTTCTTTTGGAATTTGGATTTTTATATCTCGTTTATTTTTCTTTCTTTCTTTCTTTTTTTCAATTTCCTTTATGGCTCTACCTTCCCTAAGATGGTTAATTCTTGAAGACGAATAAAATCGTTCTGCTTTTAATGATTCGCTAATCCAGTCTTCAACATTTTTTTTGGCTTAAACTTTCCGTCAGATCTAACAGTATGATTGAATGAATTTCTGTTTTTAGCAAATACAAGAGCACTAGAGCATTATCTGCAATTTTACCAAAAAAAAAAAACTAGTTTTGTTAATTTGAATTGATCATCAAATAAATCGTAACATAGCTCCTTGAATGTTTCATTTGTAATTCTGTCCATTTTGGCAAAAAATTGATGTTATCATCTATGATCATGTCGTTAAGGTGGGCGTTCTTCTACTAACTATTTCAGTTAAATCACTTCAGGTGATTGAGGCCTTCTTTCATAGAAAATTTCTTGATGGATAGCTTACCGGAACATATAGTCTGGGAGATATTGACGAGGTTAAAGCAAACCAAAGACAGAAACTCTGTTTCACTGACATGCAAACGCCTTCACCACTTAGATAATGCACAAAGATATTCTCTAAAGGTTGGGTGTGGAATGGATCCTGCCAATGATGCCTTGACGTCCCTCTGCAATAGGTTTATCAGCTTGTCAAAAGTAGAGATAACGTATTCTGGTTGGATGTCTAAACTAGGAAAACAATTGGATGACCAAGGGCTTCTCATTCTTGCATATCGGTGCCCTTCTCTGTCTGATCTCACCTTGAGCTACTGCACATTCATCACTGATGTAGGTCTGCGCTGCTTGGCTTCGTGTTCCAAACTGTCATCTTTGATGTTAAATTTTACACCCAGAATCACTGGCTGTGGTATACTGTCTCTTGTCATGGGTTGCAAGCACCTCTCAAGCCTTCATCTCATCAGATGCCTCAATGTAAGCAGTGTTGAGTGGCTCGAATACCTTGGCAAGCTTGAAACACTTGAGGTTCTCTCGATTAAAAATTGCAGGGCAATCGGGGAGGGTGATTTAATAAAGCTTGGCCCTGGTTGGAAAAAGCTGAAAAGGTTACAATTTGAAGTGGATGCTAATTACCGATATATGAAGGTCTACGATCGATTATCTGTGGATGGGTGGCAAAAGCAATGTTTTCCATGTGAAAATATGCTGGAGCTAAGCCTGGTGAATTGCATTATCAGCCCTGGGAGAGGCCTTGCTTGTGTGCTGGGGAAGTGCAAGAACTTGGAAAACATTCACTTAGACATGTGTGTTGGGGTAAGGGACTCTGACATTATTTCTTTATCTGAAAGGTCAAGTAATTTGAAGTCAATTTCCTTCAGAGTTCCATCTGATTTTTCCTTACCCTCCTTTGTGAACAACCGGTTGACACTAACAGATGAGAGTCTGAAAGCTATAGCTCAAAACTGTTCAAATCTTGAATCTGTTAGGATCTCTTTCTCTGATGGGGAGTTCCCCTCATCTTCTCTATTTAGTTTAAATGGAATCCTTTGTTTAATGGAAAGGTGCCCTGTTGTCGAGCTCTCTCTCGACCATGTATATTCCTTCAATGATATGGGAATGGAAGCTCTTTGCTCAGCAGAGTATCTTGAATCCTTGAAACTTGTGAGATGCCAGGAAATTAGTGATGAAGGGCTACAGCTTGTAAGCCAGTTTCCGAGATTGCGCATTTTACATTTAAGCAAGTGTTTAGGAATTTCTGATGATGGGTTGAAGCCACTTGTTGGATCATTCAAACTGGATTTGTTGGCTGTGGAAGATTGTCCTCAGATTTCTGAAAGGGCTGTTCAAGGAGCAGCAAAATATGTTTGTTTCAGGCAAGACTTATCTTGGATGTACTGAATTTGCTGGTTTGTATGACCGTTTTTATATCCAGAGTGCTTGTTATTGCATCTATTCTCAGTGTAGAGTTAATTCCAATGTAATTCGATCAACTGTCATTCAAAATATGTGATCTTATCATAATGTAATTCATGCTTTACAGCCAAATGGTATGCTTCACATGTGATGTGCATTTGAGCTTTTTAGGTTGAAACCGTGGATCATCAAACATGTAAAGATGCAGCATTGAGGTCAAACTTGAGATTGGATGGAACTCCCGGTAGTCAAAGCTTTTCACCTGTGGTTGATATGGAAAAACCTATTTATTTTGAATTATTATATGCTCATTGCTTTTCACCTGAGGTCCAAGAAATGTGTGTTGAATTATTGTATGCTCATTGCCCATCATATTCTGTCCCGCAAATAATTCTTGTTTAAAATTTAAGATTCAACTATGTTTTAATTTGAAGTTAGTTATAGAGCTTTGACCCGAAAATAAATAATGTTTGGCAAATGTTGTTTTTACAGCAGTTTAAACTCTTCAAATTAAATTTTAACAATTTGAATTTGATTATTTATCTTCTTTTGAAATTTAGTATTTTAATAATAATTTTATAAAAGATCACATTTAAACCATCAAAGGAGGGGAAGATGATAGGAAATGAAGAGGGGAGAATCTCTCCCAATCCTTATATATATATATATATATATATCTCTCTCTCTCTACCTGTTTGGTTGGTAGAAATATTTTTGCTTCCATAGAAGAGATTTGATCTTCAGAAGTAAGCTATCTATATCGAGGTCTACATACACAATTTAGAATTCCTAATTAACTGTTTCTTCGAAGTCTTACAAGTCACCTTCTTGGAGAAGTTATCATTGTCGGATGATCTCTAACAAAGGATGTTGTCTGCTTCATCAAGATTGGGCATTTTAACCAAAATGATTTGCTTGACCATTGAGACAGTAGAACAAAGAAGGCTCTCTATATAGGTTTAAAATTGTTTACAGTGATTTAATAATAACCAGTGCAGAAACGAATTGTGTACAAAATCCTTCATGCAACCTGTGCAGAATTTCTACACCGGTTGCACCGACAAAAAAAGACTTGTTTGGGGGGGGGGGGGGATTTTTTGCACTGACGACATATTTTTTTTCCCCCCCTCTCTTTACTTGAAGCCTGAAAGCAACGTTTCACATTGTAACAAGCAAAATCATTTCATATGATAGCCCATAGAGAGAATGAACAGGGCGGTGATGTTAAAGATTAGAGAATGTTTGGATAAGATTCAAACTGAGTTTGGAGGACTTGGGGAAACCTTACTTTGAGTCTTAAAGTTCATTGAAAACTCCGGAATGATGTTTTGAATGAAAAACTTTCTAGAGTTTGGGGAATCGGAAAAAAATTGTTTTTGGCTTCACTTTTAAATCGTGTGGGCACAATTAATCATGTAATATTATTAATTTCTTAAAAATTATCATAATTTAATATTTTTTTTATTTATCAATTTATGTTAGCTTTTTTGAATTTAATATTGTGTAATTTATTAATTTATTCTTTTTTTTTTTTTGGTAAAGCTAGAGGCCCCATGGCCCAAATCAAAGCCAACAACAGAAACTCAACACAAAAGTCCAGTCAAAACACACGACTAAACAAAACAAAACCAGAAAAAACCAACGAATTTATTAATTTATTCTTATAATTTATAAATACTACTTGATTATATAGAGACCCTTTTTAAAATTCTAAATTAAATTACATTTTAATATTTTTTAAAATATCAAATTAAAAAATATATTTATAAAAAAATTTATGTTCTTTTTTGTCATTATATATCTAAACTTGCTTTGCAATTTTATCATCCAAATAAGTTTCTGTTAATTAAACTGACTTTTAAGAAAAAAGTATCTAAGCATAATTCATGTTAAAGTCACTTACTTTTACCCTCACTTTGATTTGCAAGTCTTATTTTATTTTATTTTATTTTATTTTTGCCAATGGTTTGCAAACCTCAGTTTATTCAAACTTCAATTTTGTAACTTTTAAACCAAGCATATCCTTTGTGATGTACTCCTTCTAGTCTTTAATATAAGGTAAAGTTTTGAGAGCTTTTTTTTTTTTGGGTCCCTAATATAAGACAATGTTAGAGCAATTAATGTCTTTTTTTTTAATTTTACTCCTTTTTTATTTATTATATCATTTGAATTCCTAGAAAATAATTTATTAATTGTAAAGAAAGGAAAAATTGAAAAATTACTTTTTTAAAAAACAATTTTATATAGCTACCGTCTCCTAATAAACATAAAATTAATTAAGTGTGCCTTAATTACTAGGTGAGATATGTCAACATTCTAAAAACATTGAAGTGAGTTTGGCTATCTCCACAATTTTGAAACAAATGTAGCCCATTCAGGGTGGAACCCAATTATCATCTATATGGTCTAAATGACAAAATGGACAAGAGAGCAAGTGAAAATGGTTGTACAATAAAAATTTAAGGTAGTAAAAGCAGCTAGTCCTTAAAATAATGACTAACTAATATTTGAATCTTCACCATAAAAAATACTCTTACTTAATATTTAATCGTGTCTTTAACAAGATTGACCCCAATAAACCTAAAAAAATACATGCATGTAGCTAAGGGGAAAAATGATGGTGAAAAGGCGAAATAGATGTAGGAGAGGATCAGAGGACAATGTGAGAACCAGGTGATAAAAGAGGAGAGATACTTTCCTTTGACCCCTAATCATGTGTGTCCCAGTGGGGCTACCATCTTCAGAGATTGCCATTTTCATGAAAAGCCAACGTTGATATATGTCTCAGAATATCCTAAACAGACCACACAAAAAGGTCGCATTATTATTTCCTTATGTTGTAGACATGCAGTTCCCACAAAACTTTGCACCAATTTGCACATCACTAAAGTACACATTATAAAGATATCATTATCACACGCCTTCTTTGGGATTTTCTCTTCCCCTCTCTCTCTCTCTCTCTCTGTATCTTTCCCAAACCCCGAAGGCCAATACCAAGCCCTACTATGCCTACTTGAACTTCTCTTGGTCCAAAGAGGGGGGGAGGGGGAGAGCACTGTGCAAAACACTAAAACCTTCGCGTGCTTCACCACCTTCTCTTTCTCCTAAACACCTCAAAATATTAACCCCAAAACCTCGATCTCTCCATCTTTATCTCTCTCTCTTTCTTGTCTCTCTATCTTTAGTTTATGCTATAAGTGTGTGTTTTGTATTTATGTGGTGTCATATAGACCGACATTCTTCGTGGTTCTTACAGCATGTTTCTTTAAATATCAAAATATGAGGCAGAGACGACCACTTTCGAAGCCACCTCGGAAACCAGATATATATATATATATATATGTAAATGTGAGAGAGACGAGGCTTTTTGTTTTGGATTCGTTTGCATGGACGCTCGAGAAAGCCAATTTTTTATAAAGATTGACTTCATTCCAAGTTTTAACTAACGACAAAATGAGGTAAATCGCTGTAGATCTTCCCCTCAGAAAATATTAGTAAACAACAGATCATACTCATGCAGTGCTTCCTAATTTGCTCTCTCTCTCTCTCTCTCTCTCTATTATGTATATGCGCTTTTCAATTTGTATTATATGCACAATGAAACCAAAGTTTTCTTTTGAGAATTAAAAAAAGTTAATATTCGTTCAAAAGAGGATTCTTGAGCAAGCAAGGCACTTTGTTTTGAATGCATATTTTATAATCCCATAGCTCGCCTTCCGAGTTTCCTCATGTGACCATCACGTCTTGCTTACAGGCATATGGAAACCTTAATATTGCATATAATTAAGATGAGGATGAAGGTTCGAATATACGCTGAGACTTTTCTTCAAAACTTTTAATATCTTTAAATCAATAATTATAGTACATACGCTGAGACTTTTCTTCAAACTTTTAGTATCTTTAAATCAATAATTATAGTACATATAAAAGAAACAAATCTTTTCTAATTTATTAAAATAGCCCAACAATCAACCATTGGCTATTCTTGAAACTTGACGGTTAATGCAAGGCAATTTTAATTATTGAAAACTATTGTTTTTTTTTTATAAAATTAATGGGTATTCATATACCATTGTTGATTTAAATATCTCAAAAACTCATGAGAAAAAAAATCCACTACTTTCTAATCAAATAACTTGTACAGGAGTTAATTGTGTATTTCTTTTTGTTCCTATTAAGCCATTTTTAACCACCTTAGTAGGATTAAGGAAAGGTGGCCGGTTAAGTCAATTCATTAACTTTGTCTAAAAAGAAATAAATTAAACTTCTAATTTTATTATATTTAAATGAATTTTTTTTAAATGTATGCATTACATCCTTTTTATAGTTAATAAGTTTATATAAGAGTAAATTATTATGATAAGAGGATAACATATATTGCTTTTGAAATATGAATAATATTGATACTTATTTATTTTGGAGGAATACACGTTCACGGACTATTTTGATGAAGACAACTTGATGGAAGTTAACTAGTTTGCAAAGATAACAGTTTACTGCTACACATATTTGCTTTTTTTTCTAATTTAAATTTTTAAATAAAATAATAAGAAAATGCTTAGGTCTCTTTTTTTCTCTTTTAAAAAGTTATCTTATCGTATATCTTTTTTACAAGGAAGGGATGCACACACCCAACACCGCTTGGAGTTTGAACAGGCAACCTTCTCACATTTTTTCAGGTTATACTCTTTCCACTAATGTTTTTATGTAATTTCCCACCCTCTAAATTGCTTTTTTCTACATCAAATAAGAGGATATCTTGCAATAAAAAAATGATACACATTTTTTAACTTTTTTTTCAATTTTTAAAATAAAAAAAAAAAAAAAACACAATTTTATGGTATTATTTTTTGAAAAATCATAAAACCAAACCTACATGATTTTTAAATTGTAAAATATCAAAATGTCTCTCAGTAAAACTTA